TTACGATCAACCATCTCTTAATCAAACCAAGTACTTGAAAGTCTTGAATATTAATAGAGGAGAAGCCGCCGTTGGAACTCACCCTAAGACTGCCGTGAAAACCATGTCAAGAATATGTAAAGGCGCAGAAGATTAAATTGATTATGATGCTATGCAGAAGAAAACCTTAGAAATGGTTTTTGGGTAATTTTGAGAAGTACCCTAAATTTTAATGAAAATTTGTAAAACATACTTAATCTTTTAAAATTAGAAAAGTATACTTTTTTGTTACGTAAAAGTATGTAAACACCCCTATACAAATTTAACTTACTATATAACTTAAAAATAAGAGAAATTAGCATGTATATTAGTCTTTCGACGTATAATTCATAATCTAACACCATCTAAAACATAATGTAGTAACTAGCATTTAGGTTAGATTAAATATCAATTTTGCCTTTATGTAATTAATACAGATTTTTACAATTTAAAAAATAAAAATAAAAACTTTCCATAGTGACATACAATTTATTACATGCAATTAATTGGTATAACTAACTACATAATATAATTGTGGAAAACTGCTGACGACATAGCTAACTATATTATCCGTTGACAAAAGATAGTTATGTGTTACATAGTTAACTATATTTACACAGTATTCATAACATAGCTAACTATATTGTCTAATAACAATAGATAGTTAGTTATACGTGTTACGTAGAACATAGTTACCTATATTTACACAATACTTATGGTATAGTTAACTATATTCTCCATTAACAAAGGATAGTTAGCTATATATATTACATACTTAACTATATAAATACAATATTTATTGACATAGCTAACTATACTGTCTACGGACACAATTAACACATTTACACAACTCGTCGTGCTTAGGTTTGATATCCCAAACACCAGTCTCTCAAATAACTCATTCACCCAACATCACAACAACCATAGTCTTTTCTGTCATCTGAAACAAATAGTTAACTACGGTATTAGAATTATAGCTAACTACAAATTCATAAAGAAAATCGAATATAGTCAACTATACGTACTTCTCCTTTCCTTTTCGAGATCTACCGCAACCCCTCCTTTCCATTTTCTTCACCACTTATTTTGTAGATTTTTATTATCAGCAATAATTACTAAATTTAATAAGGGCAAATTTGTCCAACTATTTATTCTCTATATTACTAACCTAAATTATTTTATGGACATGTTAGTTTCCTAATTCCTTGTTTAAAACATAATATTGAGCTAATTAACCCTAAAAATAATTTCAAGTTATTAAATTTAAATTCGAAATTTAATTTTGTATTTACTTTTTATTTTTAAAAATATTCTGTGAGTAAATTAATATCTTATAGCTAAATTCTTTATTTAATTAAAAAATAAAGATTGACTTATTTTACACAGTCGACTTATATTTTAGTTGGTTGATTTTTTACTTTGTTGATTTATTTATACAGTTGATTTATTTTTTATATTCGTCGACTTATTTTAAACTATTAACTTATATTTCGTTTGATTGATTTTTTACTTTGTCAACTTGTTTACCATTGATTTTTTTTTGGTCGACTTAAAATTCAGTTTCGTCGACTTATTTTAAACTGTTGAGATATATTATCGTTTGCTTGATTTTTTACTTTCTCGACTTATTTAACTATTGACTTAATTTTCAGTTTTGTCAACTTAATTTTCAGTTTCGTCGACTTATTTTAAACTGTTAACTTATATTTCGTTTGACTGACATTTTAAGTTATCGACTTATTTAAACCACTGACTTTTTTTTTAATTCGTTGACTTAAAAAAATTTTTCATCGATTTATTGTAAACTATTAATTTATATTTTGGTTGGTTGATTTTTTACTTTGTCGACTTATTTAAAAAATTGACTTAATTTTTATGTTCATCGACATGACATATTATTATATAAATTAATTAAATTATAAATTATAAAATTAATTCGTAATTTTATTTTATTAAAAAATATCAATTGGTAATTTTAATTAACTTAATATATTGTAATTTAACTGAATTCTTATCTAGAATATTTACAAAAAATTGTAAATCAATTTTAAAATAAAAATTAGAAAAATCAATTTTTTTTCTTTTTCTAACTTAATCTTGTTAAGTAAGGATAGAACTGTTAATTCAACTCTTAAAATAGGGTATTTTTTAAAGTGTAACAAATTTGGTATAAATTTCAAATTTCCGATAAGATTCAGGGTATAGAAACCAATTTTCCCATGGTTTTGGTTGCGTTATTATCGATAGAGAGTTTAGCCACTTCATCGTTCAATGGTTGTATATAATATGTTTCAGTATATAATATATATCAGTATGCAATAATTTAATCCGTTTTACATTGAAACACGCATGAAGCGCGTCGTCTGTTGGACGTTTTCATCAATCATCAAAATGCAAAGATGATAAGTCAGCGTAGAAGGAGTCGTCGTTTAAAGCAATCACAAGAAAGACAAGTCAACGACGATGAATTGTCAACGCCTTCGTGTATACACGTCTCTTCTCTCTCTCAATAA